GGGGCTGGGGGGAGCCCCGCCTCGGGGTCCCCGAGGAGCACCCTCCCCCATCCCCCACCCCGGGCCCCCAGAGCCCGTCCGAGTCTAGAGCTAGGCGGCCGGCCCGGGAAAGCGCATCCCGACGGGAGGGCAGGTGAGCTGCGGGGGTGGCGCTGCCACGAACCAACTCCGCTTGTCGAACAGCGTGTACCGCTAAGCACAATATAATAATAATGCGCCCTGCTGCTCAGGTTTACAACTTCGCTGCCTCCCGAAAGAAGTGGGGGGCGGGGGGGGAGGGCGAAGCGCGCTCGGTACAGAAGAATCAAATTAGAGTCACCCCGTTTCTAAATTCTGCCTGCAGCCAATCCGTGCTTTCTCTCGGCGTTATGAAACGTGTGGGGGTGAAGGAGCGGAGGAAGAAGCGGGCGAAGACGGCTGACAGCAGGAGAGAGAACAGAAGCTGCCATGGCATGATGTAAATCAAATTAATTTAACTCCAAACACACACACCTCCCTGCTGTCTTGCAGAGATGCAAGGGGGGACATATTTATCTGTGGGCAACACGCTCTCATGCTAGTATTCCCATCACCACCTTGACCCCAATCAATCAGACGGAACTTTCCCCGCCTGCAGCCCAGGGCTGGCTACTCCATTTTCCATTGTTACTCGAATGATTCCCCACCATCCACTGAGGGGTTGGGGCTGTTTTCTGTCCATGTGGCCACTCTGGTGGTCAGGCTTTGCGCCTGCATTTCCTATGCGTTTATGTGCAGCAATCTCTACTGACCCTTTCCACTCCCCCACACAAGAGACCAAATAAGGAGTCCCCTACACCCCTCCCTTTAAATGTCAGGAATTTTCCACAGGGAGCACTGCTTTCTAAATTACCCTTTCTCTCCCGGGTTAAGAAAAGCCCAGCCCTGTCTTTGTCCCCGGACAACACAATTGAACGATTTCGCTCCTTGGAACCCAATCTTCCAATCCATCCCTCTTCAGGCCAGGTCCCCAGGCGCCTAAATGTTTGGATTATGATGGACTTTTGTGGTTTTTTGTTTTTTTCTCAGAGCCAGCCCTCGGGCATTGCAGCTGGGCTCTGTTTGAAAGCATCCGGGCACGTCCATTTTTCTTCACACGAACTTTTGCAAGAAAGCCTCAAGTCTACAACTTTTAAAAGGACATGAACTTGGTGTGTCTGGGGTCAGCTGTACTTGAATAAGTGAATAGGCACCCTGCCATTCAGGAGCTGTGAGACTTTGGACAAAGTACGCAACCTCTCTGCACCTCCAATTTCTGGCACGTCCATATTTGTTGCTTGGTATCACACGAATTGAATTAGATGTATGTGCAGGACAGTACCTGGCTCACTCCTTATTGGCGGTTGGTATTTAACATTAAGTTAAGCCCTGTATGAGGATGTTTTCGTGAAGAACTAAAAAGGAGCATTGAATCCCACGGGCGTAAAGGTGAAGTATAAAGAAAATCCTGTCGTAGACACTCTTTTCTGGAATGAGTAATACTCCAAAATATCAAGAGACAACTCTTAGGACCCCAGAGCCCCCCATAGCTCTCTATGCATGTTGTGTCATTGTAGCACGCTACTTAATACAGGATTTATACATGACAAACATGGCTTAGTGATATCTGATGCAGACCCCCTTTTTTTAATGCCTCACAGAGCCACCAACTAAAGAACATCATGATCCCACTATTGAGACCCTAGGCCTGTCTGTTGAGTTATTCTCAGGGGCTGTGCAGGGGGGTGGGGGGTTGGATGAGGAATGGCCTATATTATTACATGCAGATATTTAATAAGGCTCTGGGCTAGGGATGAAGAGTGGGGATGGGGCACACAGAACAGTGTAGCTCTTGAAAAGATGGGCAGGGTGACCTCATATTTTCCCTTATCTCATTTCTGTGATGCTCTAATAAATGTTTCCATTATGAAGTTGAGTCCAAATAAAAGACTGCTTTTAAATGTACTTTTCCCTTATCCTTTCCTGTCTACATGTATTAATTACTAATAGAAAGGAACTGGTCATACGTAATATTATTAATTTTCGAGGACGGAGTCTCATAGATTGTAACCTCCACACAATATTCCTTTGTGCCATGGGTGAAGTGTGGAGTGAAATGGGCCAGTTGGCCAGCTGGAGAGGCAAATCTAACCCAGCACTGTTGGCACTAACAAGCAATCTTTCATTCATGAACTCTGCTTTTCTGATAAGTTGAGTTTGTCTAGAGCCTTTCTGGATGTTTCAAAAATGCAGCTAATCATTAGCTGCCACTTCATAGATTGGCTAATTAAAGGTGGAGGTCAGTAAACAACAAAAGCAACTTTCATCACGTCGCATAATATATCCTTTATGAAGTGGCATCTGCAAGATGGCTGAACCAGAGCATCTTGACTGTGTACCGCCCAGGCTGCATGCGTTTTCATTTGCACTTGTGCTGGAGTGTAGTGGTTCTCAATAAAGGGGATCCGGCCTTGCAGGGGACATTTAGCAAAGTCTGAGCCGTGTTTAGTTGTTACACCTGGCATGGGCAGGGGTGGGGGCCAAGGATGCTCCTGTGATCTGTTGGGTAAGATGTTAAGTGAGGAAGGAAAGAACTATTTGCAGCCTCACTTCTGGGCCCACCAATTTAAAGTCAGGTAGATGAGGACAGGAGAGCCTGGGGGGCGTTACACATTGGGCTGAGATCTGCAAGGTCGGCGGTTCGAAACCAGCAGCCAGCTCCTCGAGAGTAAGATGAGGTTTTCTATGCCCGTAACAGTTCATCTCAGGAACTCACAGGAAAGTCCTACCTGGTTCTATAGAGTTGCTAGGAGGCAGCATCCAGTCAATGTTTGGTTTTTGAGATGATGTAACAAAGGACACAGACACAGATGGGCCGTAAGCTCAGAAGAGAACCAAGAGAATGCAGTGCCCCAGAAACAAAGTAAAAAACATGTTTTCTGAAGGAAGAGATTAAGAAGTTGTAAGACAGGCATAGAAGAGTGGCAATCAGCCAGGGTGCAGTATAGCACAGACAAAACATACAACATTCGTCTAATTCTTTAATGCCCCCCCCCCTCTATCATGACCCCAGTTCTACCTTACAAATCTGGCTAGACCAGAGCATGTACACTGGTAAGAAAAAAGCTCTCAACACGTGGAATTCAGGACCCCTGAATGGATCCCTAAGGAACAATAATGGGAGTAGCAATACCACCAATACCGTGAGGGTAGGGGAAACGTGGGGGGAGAAGGGAGAACCAATCACATGGTTGTATATATAGACCGTCCCCCAACTGAAGGACATGAATAACAGAAATGTGGATGAAGGGAGACAAGGGACAGTATAAGATATGAAATAATAATAATATATAATTGATCAAGGATTCATGAGAGTGAGAGAATGAGGGATGGGAAAAAGAGGAACTTATACTAAGAGCTCAAGTAGAAAACGTTTTGGAAATGATAATGGCAACATATGTACAAATATGCTTGATATAATTGATGTATGGAATATTATAAGTGCTGTAAGAGCCCCCAATAAAAATGATTAAAATAATATTTTATAAATTATCAAGGACTCATGAGGGTGGGAAAGTAGGGATGGGATGAAAAAAAAAGAGCTGATACCAAGGGCTCAAGCAGAAAGAAAATGTTTTGAAAAGGATGATGGCAACATATGTACAAACGTGCTTGACACATGGATGTATGGATTGGTCTAAGAGCTGTCAGAGACCACAATAGAATGATAAAAAAAATAAAAGAAAAGAGGAGTGACAACCAACCTCCTCTGACTTCTGAAGGGAGGAGGAGGTGACTCCCCAACAGCATCAGCCATTGGCCAATTCCTCTGAGGCTGTGGTCAGTCATATCTCCACCCTCCAACCTTCTTACCTCCCACAGCACTCTCTACTTCTCAACTGGGCTTGATCCTTCCTTGCCGTAGCCACACGGAACTCATAGACCATATTCACAGCTATGGAGTTTAGTAGAGAAATGGACAGGTTTATTAGGGAAATGCAGGATCAGAAAGGCCCAGGACACAATTCTTATAGTCAGGACAGCCTCTTCCTAGCCATCCAGGCAGACCTCTCTCTGGTCCTTGGGCTCTCAGCCATGCCACCCTTGGCCTCTATCCTGCTAGAGTTTTTTTAGCACTGCTGATACATGCCCCAAAGGCATACTACTCCACCCTAAGCTTCAGATTGAAGGCACTCAGTTCTAGCTTCATGGGTCAGCAAGCCGATCTGGCCAATGAAGTACCCCCATGTGCCCCATTCAAGAAGCAAGCCTCTGGCCCCCAAACACTCAGCTTTACCCATTCCATGCACAGGAAGCCAACCTCTCTGTCTCATGCTCTTGTCCTTGGTCCTCTGCCACTTCTCTGGTCTCACAGCCATCTGTCTTTGGACTGAGAAGGTTCAATGGGCAGGAATCTCAGGAGGCAAAGGATGTACTTCACTTCTGGCTCTTCTATCTTGGTGGTAGTGAGATTCCCTCTTCCTGCTTCTGAGATGGCTCATCTTGTACCCAGCAGGATGGCCAAACTGACCAATTCCCACTTGAGAATTCTAAAAGTTTTGTGATCACAAAACTGGTCTTATTCACCTCTGTAGCCCCCGATAAAGCCTTGTGTGGGCTGACTCCTGGCTGTTGAAGTATTGACCCTGCTGAGTGGTCAGACCCAAGATAGCAAATTTCTCCCAAACCATATTACTTGTCTACCTCAGCCAAAAATGACTAACATTCAAACATGCAATGGGTCCCTGGAGTGGCTCAAAGACAAGGTCTCCCACCTGGGACATAGTCCCCCAAAGAACTTGGGACAGATCAGGGAATGATCACTCAAGCCATTGGGAGAAAAGAACTCAGGTCAAAGAGCCAGGTGGAGAGCCGTGCTAGAAATCCTGGTGGCCAAGCCACTGTTAATAAACGCTCAGCAGGAAGCCTGTGGACAGGAAGTCCCTTGTCAAAAGATGTGGCTTGCTTTCTTCACACACACACACACACACACACACACACACACACACACACACACACTTTCTTGGCTTCTGAAAAATGCGCCGCAGGCATTGTTAGTAGGTTTATTTACAGACATCAGCTCCTGCGATGAGACATTCCTGTGTCTTACGGCAGTAAAGGAGCTTAGGTTAAGAATGGTCAAAACATTGCCTGTTTCATAGGACCACCTGCAGAGATTTCCCCCACCCCAGCCCGGCCCCCCTATCCAGGATTCAGCATTGCAAGACTTGCCAGAAATAATCTCCCAGCTGTAGATCACTTTGAAGTTAAAAACATTCCTGGATGAAACTTTCCCAAAGTCAAGGGCTTAAAAAACCCTTTTAAGGTCAGAAGCGATCACTGGGGAGCAGACAGGGTAAAGTGAAGCACAGCATGCCCCAAGGTGAAATTCTCAGGCGCTGTCATTTCCACTCAGCTTGTGAATATATTAAAAATCCTGGGGTCAAAAGCCACTTTACTTTATCATCACATTGCTGCTATAGCCCCGGGGAATGTACGAGAGGCCTGCTTTAGTGTGCATCAGACTCATCTAGGGAGTTGTTTGAATGCAAGATCAAAAGCTCCACCTCGAGAGAGTTTTCATTCATAGGCGACTCCCTGAAATCTTTATTTTTACAAGCATCAGGTGGTCCATAGCAAACGTTTAGAAACCCTGGCCCAGCATTTCCCACCGGGATCATGGCTAGAGATGGGATGGTGTGGAGTGTTGTTGTTGTTGTTGTTAGACACCAGTGAGTCTGTTCCAACCCATAGTGACCCTATGCACAATAGAATGGAACACTATCCGGTCCTGTGCCATCCTCACAATTACTTGGTCCTATGCCTGAGCCATTGTTTCAGCCACTGTATCAACGCATCCCATTGAGGGGCTTTCTCTTTTTCTCTGCCCCTCCACTTACCAAGCACGATGTCCTTCTCCAGGGACTGGTCTCTCCTGACAACATGTCCAAAGTATGTCAGATGAAGCCTTGCCATCCTTGCCTCTAAGGAGCACTTTGGTCGTACTTCTTCCAAGACAGGCGTGGGTTGTAGGAAGCTGTAATTATGTGGGGAGAGCTCTTGTTCTCCATCAACCTTCGAGGTACAGTTACTAACAAAGGGTTTGATATTAACAAGTGTCTTAGATTGAATTGTGTCTTCCTCAAAATCTATGTCAACTGGGCTGGGCCAAGATTCTCAGTGGTTTGGAAGTTAGGTAAAGATGTAATCATTCCCCAATGATGTGATCAGCTCATCAGTTGCTGGGGAGTGAGGGTGGGATGCAGCATCTATAGTCGGGTCCCAGTCCAGATCCGATGGGAAGGGAGTTTCCCTGGGGTAAAGGAGAGAGCAGTGAGTAGCGGAGGGACCTCACTACCACCAAGAAAGAAGAGGCATGAGTGGAGCATGTGCTTTCAATCCAGGCCTTGTGCTGAGAATTCCCAGACCCAGGGGAAGATTGATGATAAGACCTGGGAGATCTTCAAGGAATGCCAGGCCCACAGATAGTGAAATGAGACAAGGGCCTTCTGCCAGAGCCAAGAGAGAGAGAAAGCCTCCCCCAAGACCCGCTGCTCAGCCTCCTAAACTGGGGAGAATAAATGTCTCTGTACGAAAGTCATCGACGTGTTATTTCTGTTCCAGCAGCACTAAATGGCCGAGACACCAAATTGTTGTTGTTGTTGTTGTTAGGTGCCTTCAAGCCAGATCCAACTCATGGTGACCCTCAAAAAGTTCAAGAAAAACACGGAAAGGAATTTTTACAGGAACATATTTTGAAGCCCGCTCATATAACTTTGGACATATTATCAGGAGAGACCGGTCCCTGCCAAAGGACATCGCGTTTGGTAGAGGGGCCCCAAAAAAGAACAAGACCCTCAAGGAGCTGGATTGACACCGTGGCTGCAACAGTGCGCTCAAGCGTAGGACCACTGGTGACGATGGCGCAGGACCAGGCAGTTGTCATTCTGTCGTGCATAAGGTCG